TGAAGCTGCCCCGCGGCCCCCGCGCCCCCCTCGGACTCACCGTCTCCCCACACCTGAATAGCGACGCCCGTTACCGGTCCTCTCTCCCAGAGCTCGACCCGCGCCCTAAGGGGAGCCCCCCGGGCTGCCACCCCTCAGCCTCGAGTCCCGCGGCTTCAGCCGGCCGCGCACCCCTGCGGGGGACAGCTGCGAGCGCAGGTAGGCGACGGGCTCTGCCCTCCCCTCCGCCCCGGGCAGGGGCTCAGCACGGGGCTCTTCCCCCCCGCCGCAGCGCCCGCCGAAAGCGGAGCCACCCGCTCAGGCACCAAGCCGGCCTGCCTGACCACGGCCATAGCCATCTCTTTAAATCCTCACCCATTATGCAGAAATTAAAACCCTCTTACAGCTCGCCGTTACCTAGCCAGGGTCGGTATAAAGCAAAATAGACTGAGGAGATCACACAGGCCCCTACCATTTGCATTTTTGTCTATCTACTTTCTCTGAACTGCTGTGTCTGCAGTACACTGGAGCATACAAAAAAGAGATGGGCTTCATCTATTTTGTGTTCCCTCTTGTTTTCCCATTTGCCAGAGCCCCCAAAGGGCTAAAAATCTACATAAACCAATTGCACCGTTGGGTTTCTAATGCCACCACTTGAATTCAGGGTATCAGTTTCCTGAGCAAAAGCAGTACAAGTTGAAAGCCAGCCCAAGGCACACAAACGTCTTGCATTTCTTACAACCAGCCTTCTTTTCATTGCTGAATCTACACAGCTTTGGGATTCCAGAGAGTCTGAAGTCTTATTGTTAGCAAATAAGCGTGTTCGCATTTTCATTTTCTCTCAGTTCCTTGGTTATGCTTCTGTGCACTGCAAAACCCAATACTGGTCATGCCAGAAGCATGCCAGCTATATGTCCAATGTGTAATTTAATTTGCATTCTTGTATAGTCATTTTTGAAGTGCCTTTTGTTCATTAACTTGTTGCTCAGGCCGAGAACCTCATTAAACCCACAAACCTGCCGCAGTGTCAAGCACGCAACAATATCACAATGGCACCAGGCAGCAGGGTTTAGCCCAATTTGCACTCTTATATCCAGCTTTTTATCTGCATCTCTTTTATATTCAGTTGCACTCTTTTATATTCAGTGGTGCAGCTGCACAGGCTCAGAGCCATGTTCTAGACACAGTACGATACAGACACAGCAACAGCAGTAGACAACATTGCCTAACCCCATTTACACCTTTATACTCAATTTGTATTCGGAATCTTTCAAAGTTACCTTTAGATTGCTTCTGTCAGGCTAATTTTTGAAACCTCTTACAAGGTTGCAAAGGAGTGTGGTAACTCTTCAAATACAGGAATAGGTAGGTTATTTCACTATCTCCCTTTGTGATCTTGGAAGAAACACCTGTGAATTCTGCCATCTATACATTGAGAATCTAGCAAAGATATCTAGTGTATCTACTGCACTAATATTCACACAGCCTGTAACATTATGAGAGCGTTAACATCTCTAAAATGAGGATTTCGTGTACCTCTAGTAGATCAAAGGTGCTAAGAATCATTTACTTTTGAATACTGTGAACCAAAATACCTTGTCTCTTAATCCCATTGCTCATTTATCAGTTGTTGATGTGGAAGTGCTTACTGAATAGGACACAAAGTATTGTAATTTTGTACGTAGAGAAATGGATGCCTAGCGAGGTATGTTAACTTTCAGAGTCAGGACTATAAATTAGTCCTTTCCAACACACAGCTCAGTACAGAGAAATCAACCATAACCCCTTAACCTACTCACCATGTCCACTCCCAAGAACAAAACGTATCTCCATTAGGAACTCGGAAGTTCCTATTTTGAATCTGCCGGTATAGTTAAATGAGCATATTTATAAGTGAACTGAATACAGCAGGAAGAGGAATTTTAGGTAGGAGGCCCTACACTGCCTCCATACTCAAGACAGATGGAGAGAAAGGCTCCTTTCAAAAGGCACTTGGGAGAAGATGAATAGCCTAGTTGTTCCAAGCTGTTGTCTGGATGGGTTCCTTTCTCCAAGGGTAAGGGAAAGAACTCAAGAACCTACAGCTGGATGGCATTATTAACAAATGAGCATATGCTCTTGCTTAAATTATTGAGCTGCTTTTGTCCAGTCCTTCCATCCAAGTTATTTCATAACGTGTATTGGGCATTGAATTTAAGTATTTAGCTCTAGAATCACTTACATGTGCATTTATAAGACACCAAGGTGTTGCTGAGTAGCATTAAGCTAGAGCTCAGCTGTAGACTAAATAAAGTCAACCTTAGGAAGCAAGGGCTTACATGACTTTTGCTGGTGTAATTCAATATATTACCAATTACCATTTTATTTAGTATGATGAAAAACAAGAAGTATATCAATATACTGATATGTTGAATTATATTAATATTCAATCACATTATTAATAAAAAGCTTTTAACATCTTATTTGCTATTCTGAACATGTATTGATGTAAGTCTATCTTCTCTGAAGGCTTCTGTCCCCGATCATCCATTTTATCCTAGACTTCAAGAAATCCAGCATTATGCTTATTTGTCCCATTTTCCCCTATCCCAGATGAGCCTTCATTTAGATGAATATTCAGTCCCACAAGTAGCTTATAACAAGTCAGTTTTAAGTGAACACCTAATTAGAAGTACAATTCAATAGATGCTTATACCTGTAATACCTTCAACAAATATTTTCATAAAACTTTAGTTCATCACTTTTTTTTAAAGAGACAGTGAAAACAAATCTAAAGCTAAGATACACTTTGAAATGCTAGAATTCAAGCTGTACAGAACAAGCAGTATAGATGAGATTGAGGTATTCACTCTTTGAAAATGTACTTGGAAAAAACAGACACTGATGTAGGTAAGAATGTTCTTATTTTAAATTGGAGATGAGTTTTGCTGTTCAGAAAATTAAAAGCAACTACTACCAGTGCCAAGAAGTGCCCCTCTATATGATTCTTCATCTGCCCATTGTAGTGGGTTTTTTTAATTTTTACTTCTACATACATTTGGTACTGACCTCCGATAACAGCATATACAACTAGAACATGTCAACTTCCAAAGAGTCTTTTAACTGTGTGCAGCTGTTTCAACGTTATACAGCCAAAGTCCAGTAAGTTACGCACCTAGCACTTCAGCCATAATAATCCTGTGTTCTAGCTCTAGCCAGAAAAAGGAAGAAAATGCTGTTGTTCATTCTCAGGCAAGTTTAACCTGACAAAGGTGAAGGAGCCTTTTATTCAAACAATGATTTCCAACATTCTGTGCCAAATCAAACTGGATGTCTCCTCTGTGTCCAGTGACATATGCTTAAGTCAGCACTATCAGAGAAAAATCACTATCCAAAAAGAGAAGTTATTTTCAGCTAGGTTAGTTCTTTTCTCCAATCTAACAGGCAAGATACCATTCTTGCTCTGAGCTGTGCTGGCAGTTATCAGTTGCACGGTCAGCTTAAAGACGTGTCAAACTCACTCCAAAGTCCACAGCATTAAATTTTATCTGAATGTTATCTTTATGCTCCTCTCTCCTTCTCCCAAAGTTTCAAATGTATATAGGCAAGATTTCAAAAGATGAGTATTTAAAAAGCAGAAACTATCTTGGATGCAATCTTTCAACATCAGAAAGCTTCAGAAATTTCTAAAGCAGAAGTCTTGAAGTACAGCTAATTATGCTGAAATCCAGTAACTCCATTCTGCAAGTCTGCGCAGGAGAGTGTACTCTAGAGGAGCGGTCTCTGCTTAAGAAAACAGTTGTCTTCAGCTGATGGCAACGTCAGAGATGAAGATTGCAACAAGACGTCCTATTAAATAACTGCACGTTGCTTCTTCATTTGAGGAAAGAGTCTAGTTCCTGCTGCATACCTCCTCCTTCTCCCTAGCTGTATGCAGTTTCTGGATGCAGGTGGTCTTATCAGATATGAGATGCATCAAACCAGCTTTAGATTACTGTCATTCAAGATTTTAACTACTAACTGCCACACAACCCCCTCCCTTCTATTTTTTTTAAAAGCAGAATAAAAGGACCTGGTTGGACTGGAAAGGAAAGCACAAAAGGGTACGCTAACAAGTTGTGATACCATGACACGTAGGAGAGAGAAAGCAGTGTGAGTTAGGTAACAACCCAATACCTACACTTAAGCTCCCTTCCCTGTTTAAGCTAAGTCTGTAAAAGGCATCTTTGGACAAAGTAAAAACAACTTAAAAATAGAAAAACAAAGAAGCAAACTCAAATGAGTTCCTCTATAGTTCATAACCTGAGTGGAGAGAACTCCAAAGAATCTAATTAGAGACTTCAACTATTAAGTAAAAAAAAAAGCAAGTAGAATAAAAATGTCAATTCATTTGATAAAACACCTGTTGAAGCCTTACTGCAAATATCCTACTATTCCTTTGCCAAGAATCATGTGGCATTTTAGAATGTCCTTATGATTGCATATCAGAATTACACATGAAAATATAAACAAGCATCCAGCTTCTCATCCAGTCAAAAAGAGATCTTTTTAATACACAAGTTTCAAACTTACAACTCCCATGTAGCTACAGAGTAACTGTGCTCCTCCTATGTAGAAAACAACTTTTCACATCCCCAATATGGAGTGCTAATACATCCTCGTCGTAAAAGGAATCAATAAAAAATAAATTTGTTAATAATTCATTTCAAATTCAAATAAGTTCCAACACTTCAATAGAATATGTCTGAGAGTCTTTCTGGTGGTTAAGTCTTTGTAATTCTCGCAAACTTCCTTCAATCTTGTTGAGTTCGGAGTAGAATCGTACCTAAAACCAAGAAAACACAGATATTTACAGTAAAGTAAATTTATATTCTTTTCATACATCATTATACTGTGGAACTAGCTGTGGTTCTGCACAGTTTTAGATATTTAAACCAAACAAATACAGCAGCTTTTGAAATCAAAATGAGAGAGGCAACTGCCACGTCATGCTCAGGAAGGAGCATACAGAGGAGAAGAGACATTATTTGATTTACTACATAATATTTTGTTGTCTGCTTCCTCCCAACCCCCCTTTCTTAACACCCATATTCTAAATCCATACTAAAATTAAATAATCATCCCAGAATATGCAACTTACTTGGGCTCTCACGAACTTATGCAGGTTTGAAAGCAACTCTTTTGCTTCTGGTAGCATCACCATAACTGTGAAGTGAGCATCAAGTAACAGGCACATCCAATCCATAATCTGAAGACAAACAAGAAAAGTACACTTACAGTTTATGATATGCAAATAACAGATTTTTGCTTTAAAAGCTGAACTCTGAAACGTTAACTTCTAATGCAAAATGTGTGGTTTCATATTTTCAGGCAGTATATTTATTTTCCGATAGTAAAAAGTTTCGTGTTACATCTGACGTCATACAGGTTATATTAATAAGAAAATACTTTATAGAATGAATGTAGATCTCAGTTGATTTTAGATCTTCACAACTACTCACTATGTTACACACCACAGAAACCAAAGGAAGTACAACTCTCAGAACTACCTTCTCACCTGATTTATAGTCGGAGAGCGTATTCCAGGAAGAGTGGTATTGATTTTTTCACTGCATTTCACATACAGGTAGTATAAATACCTGAGAAACAGCTAAAAGTACAAAAGTCAGAATATTTTAAAAGGAGAAACTTTTAATAGACCAAGGAGTTTTGTCCTGCACACAGTAATACTTACAAGGAATTTTTTTTTTTAATTTATTTTTTAAAGCAACATAGATGCCTGTCTATTACACATTAAAAATAAGTTTTATGGTTCTCCTACACCATTTATAGCTAGGTGTTTGAAAATTCTCACTCAGCAATACTCGGTGTAAAGTTACATTCAGGGGTAATCATTGTTCCAGTGACTGTGTCCCGTGCAATTTAATTCAGACACAGACTTTTCTAGGAACTCTGCTAAAAACTTTATCGACATTACAAATTTTAGTCCCAGTTTCACTTGCAGTAGCCAACAATAAATTGCTAATGGTCAGAATCAGGTCAACATCATCTTGTGCTGAGCACAAGTCAAAGTCTCTCTCCAAAAAAAGAAATCAAGGAGATGGGTCAATGCTAGGATCAGCTTTCTTCTGATGCGTGGGTTTTTTTGAATCACTGTAAAGTCACATATATGCTCAGGTACTATGGTACGTGCAGTTCTTGAAATTACATTTCAGGTTTTGAGAGACAAAGGTTTTCTTGGTTTTTTTTGTTTTGTTTGTTTGTTTTTTAAATGGAGAGGATCTGAGATTCATTCCTCAAGTTTGATTTGCATTACATTTGGCATTTTACACAGTGTACAGTTTGTTTCTCATATTTTCTAAACTTCTGTTTCAATGGAACTGACTAAATTAGCATGTCTCATTCCTTTCTTAAAAAGCATCCAAATCAAGAAAAGGTACTTGCTAACAAAATATGAACAACATTTTCCAAGTAGACTGGGTCATAAAGAGGGTTTCTTACTTACATTTTCTAAAATAAGCAAGGACTACAAAAATTAATAAAAGTTCCATATGTATGTGGAAAAACGTGACATTCATTAACATTAAATCCTATTAGGCATCTTAATTGCATTTTCATGCATTAGCTTGCGATTCAGACTCCAGTAAAAGTGGCAAGTTTCTGATATAAAATTGAAAAATTCTCTTCCCTTTCACTCCCCCCAAAATAATAAGGGGTTTTAACCTGTTTAATTTTAACATACTTACAACAGCTTGCTGAGCTGGAAGGTTTTTCAGATGAGGCAAAAGAAATGTTTCACTGTAAGCCGAATGGAGAACAGCATTTCTGTGCAGTACTATTAAGGAAATAAAATTGCAGGAAAACACACCAGATTCTACAAACTGAAATGAATTCTAATTAAAATATTTCCCTAGGTTCTGTGAGAGCAGTCCTATTTCAGCTTTTTGAATCTCCCTTATTTCTATCATGAAATATATACAGCAACTGAAATATCACAGAACAGAACAGTTCTGTTTCCTGCAAGAATGCAATTGGCTAATGTGTTTTAACAGGCAAACATCAAAAGCCTTATTGCTATTTTCTCTTGGATAGACAAAGTTTTATTACACTTTTGCAATAATGCAAGTTTAAATTGGTGTAGATGCTTTCTAAAAGTTCTCTTATCAGAACTTCTCAGAAATTGTCAACAATAACAGAAGATACATCTTTTAGTAAACATTCATATCGCCTATAATGGCTGACTTTCCTTCATTAAAACATACGGAGGATACAATAATGCTGCCTTCTGTGGTCCAACAGGGCAGAATTCACCATCAGCCGTCAGGTGGGTTTCCTTTGTGATTTTAGTATCCCAGATGTCTTGTTCCAGCTCTGCATTGAAACCATTTTCTACAATTTCAGTCTTAACTTCTTTATTGTTGAATTCCATATCAATGTAACAGATTACAGATTCTAGATTCACATCTATTCTTTGAAGATAGGCTTCACTAATGCTGTAGAAGAAAATTCCAGACATTTAATACTTTTAATTATTAGCTTTAAAATCAGCAATGCCATCAACCCAACAGTAGTACACGCTATGAACTCTTTTATAGTAAGCTTCAAAGTAAAAACATATACTAAAATAGAGAGTCTTGCAGAATGAGTAAAGGCCATGAGAGAACAGTTAATATTTTTTAATTATTAACCTTCAACAATACACGTACTGCTCTTTTATTCCAACAATGTATTATTAGACATTCTGGCATGGGCTGGATTTAAAGGTTATACCCCATTCGAGACTGCTGTTGTATTCTGACATTAGTGGGACAGCTTCAACCCATAAGACAATTACGATTTTCCTAATATTTAGTAATAAAGTATTGACAATTCAAAGGTATGAAAAGAACAAGCTCTGAAGTTTCTAATAAAAAAAGAATCCTGTGTGCTCTGGAAGCCTACAGGAATGGTAACAAGTGTCTTTTCTTTTAGTTACAGTGCCTGCCTAAAACTACCTCCTTTTTGGGATATGAAAACCATTTCTGTCGTGAACTTACAAGAGTTCATCTTTTTTTGTGGGCTTCTTACCCCAGGTAAGTTCCCAATTAGTCTGTTGCACAGTGAACAGATAGCTGTAACTATATATATATATATATATATATAAAAAAAAGGATGTGAGTGCCACTCAAGCCAGCAGTGTTACCACAAGGCATGTTCATTTAATTACCATTTACATAGTTTTTAGAATTAACATATGCAACAGACATCTTGTAAAAAGTTTGTCAGTCTCCAAGACTGCAAAATACACTGTACTTGGAATTAACAATTTCATGCACAGTATTAATTGCTCATCTATAAAATTAAAGCCATTCTTGGCAACACACAGCTTTTTATTAAGGGGCTTGGTTTGGTGAAAAAGAAAAGGGGGAAAGGGGGGGGGGGGGGAAGAGTGATTCAAACTTACCTTAAAAATACTTTCAAACACGCATAAGTAATTTCTTCAGGAATATCTGGAAACCGTTGTAAGCAGGTTTGTAAGAGATGCACATCTTTTTTCTCCAAAGCAACAGCCATTAAATCTGGACATAAACTGTAAGAATATGAAAAGAATAGGCTGCACAGTTCATACCCACGGAAAACTACACTGACAACTAGTGCAGAAGTTTTAATCTTGTTTCACACAAAACTCCATCTGGGAAGTGTCAGCTTCGTCAGAAAATAAGCATAAGCACCTTCGGTAGTAAATTCTGATAATTCGAGAGTGCTTTATGTAAAACTATTTCTACTTTTTTTTTATTTTTAAAGGCTATTCCTTACAATTAAAAAAATGCAGAATCATCACCTGTAAGACAAGTCTCGGGTTTGGACTATCTGCAGCAGGAAATTCCGAGGGTAGTACTTTGGATTTGTTTTACATCTGTTTACAAGGGCAGTTATTACACATCCAATGGTGGCTTGGAAATCTGGCATCTGTGCTTTTGACATCAATTGTCTCAATTCATCTTCAAATACAGTTGTAGAAGCGTCCTGAAAATGACAAATACTGTGCAACTCAGAAGTAGAAGGCATAGGTTTGAGGCTGTACTGTTACTAATTAGACCAAGTAGAACCAGAGTTGGAATTCAAGCTAAAAAAGTTGACAAAAAACCTCTCACCACTCGCTGTTTTGGTAGTCTCTCTCAATCACGAAAGAGCCAAATGAGGGTAATTACTCCTTCTGAACTCAGGTAAGGAGCATCTTTCAATAATTGCTTGGGGACTGTTCGCCTGTGACTTTAGTGACATCACCAAGATGTCCAGCCACACCTGAACGATAGGTACATTCACACAGGAAGGGATGCAACTTAGAGTATCACAACACTTGCAAAAAGTTTTAGAAAGGAACTAAACAGCTTATTGCTATATTTGCAGCAGAATTCCTAGCATTCTGACTTTCTAGATTCAAAACGTCTTCAACAAAATTAAAGCCATAAATAAGAATCTAAAAAAACTTAAAAAAGCAGAGTTCAGGTGAAATATCCTCCCACCTTATTTACTGTAAGAGATTTTCATTAAAAACGAACAAATTTGTGCAAGCTTTCAGAACTCGGATAGCTATTATAAGCTCTGTATTGTACAGTTCTAGAACACACGCCTATGACAAAACTTTAATCATGTCCAAATACTACTCTTGCACAATAATAATAATATCCTCCAACTCACGTGTTTAAGGCAGCTTCGTCAACTTGACATGTGCAAGAGGACATGGGAAAAAATAATAGCTTAAGAGACAACTAGAATATTCTGAGAGCGTCTAGAACACTACTTTAGGATATTTCGTTTACTTACTTTCAGATTTAGTAAGAGCTGCCCAACTGATAAGGTATCTGGCTGTACTTTAGCAACAGTGTTCCTTTTTGATCTTAACTATTATAAAGAAAAACAAAAAGTTATTATTCAGCTCCAAAAAGATGGTATATATTTAACGATATCAATCAAGATAACTAGGAACTTCATGTGTCAACTTGCTGCACAGATTACACTTAATAACTGGGTAGTCCAATTCCAGAAACAGTGTTAGAAACAGCGAGTGACAAACGCAAAGTGAAATTTCCTTCTGCTACAACACATAAAAGTAGCAGCATGGGGAAGAGACAAGAAAATCGAAACAAAAACCTCACACGCTCCTAATGCTAACTTACAGTCATTTTGGACTCAGGTTTTAGAGCTACAGACTGCTGTGACTGAAAGGAAACCACCAGCTCTTCATCTCCGAGGGTATTCCAGTTTACAAATGAAGACACATCTGTGAACACAAAAATGAAACTATATGAAGGTAACACTTAAAGTACATTTATTGAAGTATGAATATTACATCAACTTCTTATACTAATAGGTATTTTCTAAACTATAATCCAAGTCATTTTCTGCCAAGAAAGTTTCCAGTTTTATCTCAGCAGCAGGTAATTTTATGACCCTTTTTGCATACTATTTTTCCAGTTAGCCTCTAAGAGGAAGAGAAATAAGTTATTACACAATTTATTGTGAGCATTACTTGCAACAAGATTTTACCAGTGCAATGCTAAATTAGAGACACCGTGACAATGTAATTTTAAACTAACGTTTACAAAATAAGGTTTGACATTGCCCCATCTAATCACAAACTCTTTGAGAACAATTTACAGGAGACAGCACTTCATTTTGTTTTCAGTATTCACAGCTAGCATTCCAGTATTTTCTGTAATTCCTGTATTTGAATGACAACCCAGTTTAAGTGAAGCCACAATAAATTCAGACATTTCCGTGCTTTGGTGTTCTCAGCAACAGTAAATTTAAACAGCTAGGAACAGAATACAGTGTTAGGCTACTTCAAGCTGTTTAGATTCAATTGATTTTATAGGACTGTATTAAAATAATTCTTACACAATTTCAGAAGTTTTCCTTTTACGAGATCTTTTCACTGTAATTATAAAAATTCTTACCAGGGGTTTGAGTGTCCTTGAGCTTTCCCACAGCAGCTGCCAAGGAGGACGTTTCACACTTGTACATAATTACTGTTAGCACCTTCCCGTGAGTAAAAAAAAATTTTTCCTCATAACACCACAACTACAAAATATTAAAACATATTGTTAATGAGGAGATGAGCAGAGAAGCATGTTTCTGCACAAGCTGATGTTTAACTCTTTACTACAAAATTCAACTAAAAGTCAGCGATCAGATTATTTTACATTATTTTTGGTAGGTTTAACACTTGTTAACAGACCTTCATTAACTGTTGATTTTAAAAACAGAAATAAGAAGCACTCTGATGAGTGTTTTCCAGGGATGTCTTAAAGTACAGCGGCTGCTCCAAGGCATTAAGTCCACTTGATAATTTTATTTTTTAAATTCCCTCTTGTGCAATTTTACGACAAAACCAGTCAGCTGTTCTATTCCACTAGTGCATTTATTACTTAGGTGACAGTTACTTATCATTAATTAACACCTGAACATCTTGAAACACTACTTAAGGAGATGCAGGGATCATTTAGGCAGTCTACTGCAAATTGTCTGAACAGAATAGATACTGGCTGGGTTTTCTGTTTAATTAGCTATTTAATTCTCACCAAATAATCAAGACCATCAGAAGTGAGAAGGTACTGAATGATCAAAGAAATTGCTGTAAGCCACCATTCTTCTGCTACATATTCTGACAAAAATTGCTCGTCAACTGGTCAATATTAATTTTGTTTCAGAAGCTGGCATTCACTGCTCTTCCAGACAGCAGCAGAACTCTGAAGCCCACCAGTCTCTTCACTGCTATCATGCCAAATGCACGAAGCTTATGGACCACAAATTAAAGACTGAGCTTACTTGTCCACTGGTTCCCAGGGGCAGTTCCTTTGAAGTTTGCAATGTCTGAAATTTTGTATTCCATATTGTTAGGCACTCTAGGGAAAATAAACGAGGGATGTTACAAACCCAAAAAGCAACGTAAATGCTACATTTGCCTTTGCTACTTTCAGTTAAAAACACTTGATGAAATAGAAATAACTGTTTCAAAATAGCTCGGTTAGTTATTGTGGTGGTGCATTCAACATTAGGAATTAAGTCATTCTGGTTAGATCTCGAGAAAAATATCTAAAGATAAGTTAGTTTTCCAGTGAAGAGCTTTAAGCAAGAAGCTGTGGCAAGAGGGACAGCAGCCAGCGTGGCTTCCAGTCAGGAAGAATGTTTTGTCATAAAATGCTATGTTCAGTGACTTAAATTTCAGTGATCCCACACTTCAGAAGTTTAGGCATGAGACTGAAGTGTTTGTTTCACTTATTTTAGACACTGATTTCTTAGAGGACATTAGGTCTGTTTCCCTGCATAGGTCCTTTTACAAGTCCTCCTTTTAATTCCTCTCCATCCATGAGTTGTCTTGCTGCATCTTCTCAACTGTTTCACAAACAGCATGAAAGCAAATACTGAAACCTAACAGCAAGTAGAGTCCTGCAACCACCATGCAGTTTACTGGTAAAGGTTATCTTTAGCTAGTGCTCTGAACGGCACAGCTCAACTACGTACTAGTTTCAAGAGCCAACTAACATTTTACTTGCACTATTTCCTGCTTAGTGCTTTGTCTAAGGAAATTTTAGACCTTACGACATCTTAATCTGATTTTTCAAGTTACCTTTGGGTTCTTCACCAGATACAGCTACACTTCCTAATACTGCGACATGGTCTTTATCAAGAACAACAAAAGAAGTTCCTTTTAGAACACTTCCAGATACCGAAAGGTTCAGTAGTAGTGACTTGAACAAAATTTGCTCTTCCTCTTCAGTATTTTGCTGCAGAGGTATCAGAACCTTGTACACAGAGTCATTGGAATCTGTAAAGAAAAGTGATAATGCTTTTATCATCTCATTGTGGAAAAACTATTTGATATGATATGGCAAGAGGACATCCAAAGAGAACAAAATCCGGTGAGTGTTGAAAGAAGAAATAATACAGGATATTTAAACGACACGTTATGATGCAAAGAAGCGTAGCTAGCATGAGATCTGCAACGTACAAGTCATGACATTTAGGAACACTGAGCCTTTCCAGGATATCAGGAAGATTTAATTACTACTTCTACCACTAGCTGTTTTAAAAGGTTTAAAGAGCTAAAAATATTAAACAGTAATTCATAAATATCAACATTTTATGTCCTTCCGTACAATTCTTTGCTTTATTATCACATCCCGTTAGAAAATACAACTTACACAAACAGAGAAGTGTGATTATTTGATTTTTCATATATGCTGTGAAACTCAGTGGTTTAGATAATTCCTCTTGTTCAAGCTTATATTTGTGTAGACTATTCATCTTAAGTTTCTGTACATAGACAAAGAAGTCCCCATCCTAAAACAAAAAAGAAAAAGTTTTCCTTTAATTTACACAAAGAAGAGATAACAGAAATTCAGATATTAGTACTGCTTATCTTTGAATGTTAAGCAAAATTAGGAGTTTGTGTTTTCTATAGGACATACAGCTTAATTCAGGAAAGTCTGCAGATTCAAGCACGTAAAGAAAATTCTAATTTGATTAAACAAATGCATTCACAGGAAGAAGCATTTGAATAAAGACAGATTCATATACCATTCTTTTTTTTTTAAAGACATAAATCCTATTTAACAAGTTCTTCACAATAAGCAAGTATTTGAGGGCAATGAAGAGTCACACAATCGTCTATTGTATTTAATCTTAATTGTTCTCTGAAGATCTAAGAGCCAGGCTCCTCAGCCCTGAAAGCAACACAACTTCAATTTAACTCTTGTATCAGAAACAATACACATACAGGATACTGGTTAAATCAGGATAATGATTTTACTAAAAGCTCTTAAAATCCAATGAAACAGGCGATGGATTTTAGAAAAAGCACTTAGATTCGTTGCTATGAAAGTTTTTTTAAAAAAGTATTCAACTCACTTTCTCAGTAGCGAAAATTAAGACAGGTTGTTGACCTTCCATAAAAGCTTCACTCCACCTAAAACCAGAAAGCTGTATGAACGTCTTCTAAATTCCAGGACCATACCTAAAGTCATATCACTATTCCTTAGGCAGCCTCTTATTTTTAGGATATCTGTATAAATAATTTTAAGATTTTAAAAACAATGTGTCAGAAAAAACCACCCAACCCCAAAATTTCGGTCTTCAGATTTCTCCCCTACCCCCTCAAAAAAGGGAACAACTTTCACCACCATCATCAATCCTTCTGAGCAAGAAGCAAGCTTCATAAAATTGTATCACTTACTTGATGACTTCATCTGAGATAACGTTTTCAATTTCTTGTTGTGGGGCTTCCAAAAGGACATCTAAAGTTCGAACACCACCTCCTTTGAACAGCACCACTGGCCCTCCGTTGGGGAGTGAATGTATTCTGTATACATCAGCTGAAAGCTACATAAAAAAAATAAATTTCTATGTCCTTCAGTACATTACCTTGAAAGCCAAGTGTTTTATCTGTTATTTTTTTTCCAATTGTTTTATCCGTTATTTTTTTTTAAAGTTCTTTCAATAAATGAGTAAGAGAAGAATGATGAACCTGTGAGATTCCTAATAATGTAGGCCTAGTAGTTGCCAATTTTCTGAAATGCTATGAATATCGCAAGTCACTACCCAACAAAAAGCCAGGAAAGCGTCCCAATGAGCACCACATTTTTGAATCATGTCAGAAAAAACATAATTGAGGGTATGGAGTTGAAACAACTGGTAAACAGCATAACACAAAGCACTGGTTAACACATCCACCAGCAGAACAGAAAAATCTATATTGGAACATAATTCACCGTCTTTCAAGAAAGTCCTCCGAAACTTCAGACTTGGGATACGAATGATTTTAAGAGTAATACTTTGATGACCAAGTCTCTAAGCCCAAGTGGCTTCCTTGCAATATTCCAGAACATCATGAAGCGCAAGTTAAGACAATGGTCACCTAAAATGTAATATTACTGGTACTGTGAAAATTAGCGTCTCTTCCCTCCACCGGGATTCAAAACGTTAACATAAAAGTGAACACATGTACGAGACTTACCGTTGCTTTAAATACTTTGTCCAAGTTAATATCTTTGTTCTTCCATATTCTTAAAACCTTTAAGAGAAGCATCATTTTTAAACACATTAAAAGGTCATATATAGACTTCTCGGCACACAAAATACTAGCAATCTCATGTCACTGAAACACAGGAGTAAATAAACCGAGAGCATTCACAGTAACCTCAGTGGAAACGGACCCAGGGGAAGTTTGCATGGAAAGAAGCTGAAGCAGAGACAACAGGAATACAAACCAAGAAAACTCAGAAGTCTTGATTTGGAAAGAAAGGATAGGAAAGAGTACGGTTAAGGGAAAAGACACAGCAGAATTCTAAATGAAAGTAGATCAAAGTGATGGAGACCGATTAAGATACAGATGACCTGATCTGGAAGAGAATGTTTGGAAAATGTCAGGAAAGATATTTCATCAACAACAATAAAACCCCCCAAGGGTTCAGCATGTGCTGAGCAAAAACTACAAGTACACAAACAGAAAATGTTGAACTGTAAAACAGTAAAATATCAGCAGAAAAACAAGGATGGAGGTATGAACTATTTTAACCATTTCAGTACAATAATCATGCACTTCTGAATGTCAACCAGTCTGCAACAAGAGAAATAACTTATCCTTAGAGAAGGTATGCATGAGGCATTCTTCACTGAGAATGCTTCTGTTTTTAAAAGGCCGCTGCATAACCGGTGCCCAGCACAGACGC